ATTCCTTCCGCTCGGATCGCCGTGTTTCTGCGCACACATTTTTGCTGTGTTCGACGTACCGTCGGTTATTCAGGTTGCCGGTTTTGTTGAGGTAAGCGTTACTTATTCTTAAAATGACTTAAATTAAGTCCATAGCTTCATAAATAAGCTTCAATTCACAAGCCTCAAATGTATGTCTATTTAGCGTGCTCGCAATCGCCGTCAACTTCCCGGCCTTTTTCGAGCTGGGCACAAAGGTGTGCTGGCTGGTGCCGGAGAAGCGGCTGTCATTAAAGGTAATCATAGAGCTGATTAGGCTTCGGCTTCGGCTTAGGCTTGGGTTTTCGGGCTTCCCTGGCCCTTTAAAAATTAAATTCGGTAAAAACATGTGTTTTAGCTCCAAGTGAACGCTTTCCGCACCGACCCTCGGTACATGTTTTGGTACAAGCTGTTGTTTCGGATGCTTGTCACCTCGATTGGCCCGAATTTGTTCATATTGTGTAAGTGGTTTTTGGGGGGCAGGCTAGCAGAGGTTGTTGAGGATTTCTCAAAAGCTAAATTTCAGTTTTCACGTTGCTCACCATCTATCTGCTCAAGGGGAGCAACCGATCACGACGTCAGCTTTTCCACATGAGCGACTCTTTACTAGATCGATATTCATCAAGGTGCGGTAGATTACTGTAGCTAATTTCCGCTTTTTTAGGGAAACTATGCAAACGCTGATCTCAATAATGCTCGTCACAAAATTTCTCGTGTTTAGGAGCTTGTCGTTTGCGGTGGGTTCTGTTTGAAATTTATGTTTCGGAGATTTTGGGACCAAAAAGTTCGAGTAGCCGATTAACGCTTCGCGCTGTCACTTACGAATACAAATTTTGCCATCTTAGATCGACATCATGGAAATTGCGGGTGTTTTCGCGTACCCGGGCACGTACGCCTACTACCTATACGGACTGGTGGACATGAGCAACCTGTTCATCCTCCTCAACTCGGCCACCAACTCGCTGATATTCTTGAAGGGTAAGCAACAAAAAGAAGCCTAGTTTTTCCGAGTTCATGCTCATTTTATGGAGCAAGAGAAGCCCAGTTTTGAACGAGCTCGTGCTCATTTTAGAGGACAAAAATCGAGCTCAAGAACTGTTTTTGTATCCTAAAATCCACTGATTTTTAGGCTCCAATTGGCTGAACGCAAAGATTGTTGAGAGGAAGACGATGAAGCGGAAAAAGACGATATGTGATAATGGGTGAGATTTTCGAAGTAACTTAAGCCAAAGCCTGACCTAAGCCTAAGCCAAGCCTAAGCCAAGCCTAAGCCAAGCCTAAGCCACGCCTAAGCCAAGCATAAGCCAAGCCAAAGCTAAGCCTAAATCTAACCCAAGCCGCCCAAGCCTAAGCCAACGCCCATTTCAGTCAAATCTTCGGCGATCGACTGCACTTGCTGACCAGCTCGTGGCGAGAAGCACAGAGGATGACCAATGGACAGATTGGACTTCGTGTGCTCTACAGTATGCTGAGGAAGCATCCTGCACTTTTTGATGTCTTCCGGTGGGTCGGGGTAGGCTAGTAGAGACGATTTGAGGAACGGTGGCCTCAGGGCAGACTAGCAGAGATTCTTTACTAGGGAAAAATAGAGCCAGGTATGCTAGCTGCGATTCTTGGGGAAAGAGTCAAAAAGAGCAGGCTAGCAGAGATTCTTTGCGGAATTAAAGCCCAGAGAAGACAGGCTAGCGGAGAATCTTGGGGAAAACAGTTTGGACTAGCAAAGATTCATTGCGGAAAAATCCAGAACTAGGACAGAAGAGGCCGGCTAGCAGAGATCCTTTGAGGAAAATCAGGAAGGTAGGCTGGCAGAGATTCTTGAGGAAATCTATAACCATCAAGGTTACCAATCCCTTTACAGCACCCCGTCCACCTTCCTCCACCAGTCCGGCTACACGGCCAAGAATGAGGAGGACGCCGGGCTGGAGCGCTCGAACGGCAGTCGCCGCAGTTTTGACCTCATCACGAATCCCAGGTAAATAATTTAAATATTTTAATTTTTTTGAATTTTAGTATTATTTTTCATACTCGAAATTACTTAAAATCTTTTGAAAACAGCCAAACAATTATTCCAAAAATACCCCGCTATTTCCGTCGCTTTTTCTAGCCAACGCAAAGAGGCCGATGCACCCGGGAAGAGGTAAAATGAGTGTCTAAAATGTGGACATTTTTACTTTAATTTTTTTCTACTTATTTAATTTAATTTTTCCACTAGCAAATACTTCTTCTACTACTTTTCCTAACCACTACTTTTATGGATTTCGCTATTTTTTTTCTATATTTTGCCCCACCAAAATGTGCTCCTCACCAAGCACCCCAAGTTCTTTTTCTTTTTTTTTTACGGATGTGTCAAGTTTGTAAAAAGGGCAAGCTAGCAGAGATTGTTGAGGAAGAGGAGAGGGCAGGCTAGCAGAGATTGTTGAGGAAGAGGAGAGGGCAGGCTAGCAGAGATTGTTGAGGAATAGGAGAGGGCAGGCTAGTAGAGATTGTTGAGGAAGAGGAGAGGGCAGGCTAGTAGAGATTGTTGAGGAAGAGGAGGGGGCAGGCTAGCAGAGATTGTTGAGGAAGAGGAGAGGACAGGCTAGCAGAGATTGTTGAGGAAGAGGAGAGGGCAGGCTAGCAGAGATTGTTGAGGAAGAGGAGAGGGCAGGCTAGCAGCGATTCTTTGAGCAAAATTTTGGGGAGGCGGACTAGCAGAGGTTCTCCAGGAATTCCTAAAACGGCAAGCTAGCAGAGATTCCTTAAATTCCGAAAAATCCCCTACCCTGTCCGGCACCAAATTTGCATTTATAGACTTTAAGACCCAAATATCAACGTTCTAATTCAGATACCAAGAAGTGGCCGACCGGATCACGGGGTTCATCACCGAGATCCTGGAGATGATGAACACCGGCCAGCCGGAACAGGTACTTTGATTTATTTGATTTTTGATTCTGTTAATGGATTTTGCTTTAGAAATCTATAATTTTCTTGTAGTACATCATGATGCGCATCCGACGAGTCGGAGCCGTTCACTTTGACAAGAACATCCACTTCCCCTCGTCGGTGTGGCGCGAGTTCAAGTCCAGCCTGCTGACCATCATCGCCGAGTGCCCGTACGAGTCGCAGGAGGTGGGGGTTATGTTATTTTAAAATTATTCCATTTTTTTGTCTTCTAATTGTAAGCTACAAAACAATTAATTTAGCAACATTTTATGCAAATCCGAATCCCCAAAAATAATTCCACGATTTTTTAAAGACCCTTAATTAAAATTATTTTGCTCATTTTGTCTATTTTAGCTGCCAAAAAAAATGAATAAAATAAAAACCAATAATTAAAATATAAATCTTCGAAATTTTAGTTTAGTAACAAACAATAAAATATTTCTACAGTAATTTTTTTGTACAACTCAAGAAATGCCTGGTAACGCTATAGTAAAAGAACCCGAATTTCTTAAAAGATAATTTTAATTCCAATTCTAGGAACGGCTGAGCACGCTGGAGTCGTGGAACACCTTCACCGCGCTCATCATCCGCGAGATGAAAATGGGCATTCTGGCCATCGGCGATGCCGTCGGCAGCATGAGCTGATGACGTCAAAAATGAAATGTGTAGAAACGATATGCCTGCTCCGTGTCATATTATTGCGGGTCCACCCATTATTATCTTATTATTGTTATACTACTTCAAAAATAATTCTATCGATCTTGGTACTGGTTCCTTAGCGGGGGGAGTTATCCAGCCTATACTAACCTATCAAAAAATGTAAACTTTTTAAAGCTTATGTTTACGGCTTTAATAGTTTTTGATTGCCAAAAAAACATCAGAAAAAATTCCAAAATTGCTGTCATTTTAAAAAATGTAAAAAATAAGTCTTTTTTTAACAATTTCATGCATTTTTGGCCAAAAAACCAAATCTTTCAAAAATTCTGACAATTTTAAGTATTTTCTATACTTAAAACCGTGTAAAAAGCTAAATAAATCTTGTAATTCATCAAATTTTATTTTTACAGCTTTTTAGCGTTAGATTACTAAAAAACATACAAAAATTCTCAAAAATGTAACAAAATAACATTTTTGAGGCAACAGCTAACTTTTTCGAAATTTTAGCAATTTTTCTCAACAATAACAAAAAACCGCTTAAAAATGTATTTACACAATCTTTATTTCATTTTTGCGACAAACGATACGCCAAAACTATCCCCCCCCCCCCCTGCTAACAGTCCAGTATCCCCCTACCCCACCTGCAATTTTGAAAATTGTTCAGCAATACAAAACCGAAACGGGTCCATTTCCAGTTTAGCCTTCGCCCCCTGAACTTTGTTGTGAAACCTTCAAAATTTCGTAAATTGCGTAAACTATAAAACCGATCAGATCATGACGCCATTAATATGACATTTACCCATCGATCTCCCGCAAACTATTGAAACATTTTGTTGCTTCCGCCCCTCTTTTCGCCTCCCCGACACAGCAAATCGCGCATTTCAAAATGGGTTGTGTATTTTGTACAGTTGTCCGCGGCTTCAACAATGAATTCATGTCATTACTACGATGCTAGGCCGGGAATAAATGATTAATTTGAAAATGGCACAAAAACGCAAGTTACAAGGCATGAAAGGCTAGCCGAACAGAATTTTCTGCATACAGAAAAGCTTGAAAAAACTACGTTAATTTTATATAGGCTTAGTTTTCGAGTTACGTAAATCAAAACCAATTTTAAACCATACTTTTTCAAAAACTAAAAGCCTGGAATCGTACACGCCACCAAAAAATTCCCATCAGAGCGCAAAGAGCCAGCGTACATAGGCGTCTTCTGTAGCTTGGTTGGCAACGGCGCGGAATGAAATTCGATCGTTTCATATAAGCTTTAGCTCTCTAAATCAAACATAAACTTTCTTTTTTTCTAAAAAAAACATGGAAATTATAATGGTGTTAAATTACAGGGTTTTCCACCGAGTTTATCCTTCAACAATCAGGCCTACGACGACAAAGAGTCACCCACGAAAATGTCAAGGTATGAAAGACATTTATAACTTTCTAGTATTACTTTTTAGTCAGCCGCGTTTCGTGGAAGCCGAGCTAGCCGCTCTACTAGAAGATTTGAGCCCGGAGCGGGTAAATAGTTTTTTTCGTAGCTTTTCAAAGATTCCTAGGATCGGATTCAAAACTGCCGGCGCTGGATCATGCAACGATTGCGACACATTTCAAAGATTATGGATTTCTTGCTGAATGTAAGTTAATAGGACCCTCTTATTACAAAGTCTGGCTCTTTAGAAGATCCGATCCGGCGGCGACCCGCTGGCGATAATGGTCTTGTTCTACGTGATCAACGACGTGGCGCAGAATGCGAACAGACTAGGCGGGGAAGAAGCCCGCACGACGTTGGCGGCGATACAGTTAATTATGGCGCCGGCTTGCAGGTTTGCAAAGTTTTGGCAATGTTTAAAAATGCATAAAAATTTTGAAAATTTGGTCGAAAATCGGTACTTTTGTCAAACGAAAATGTCATAGTTGTTGGTAATATCATAGAAAGCGTGTATCGCTTTTTTTCATAAAATTTAGCCAATTTTTGGGTCCAAAATGTTTGGAAAAGTTTAAATAGTTATGGAAATTTGGGGTTTTTTATCGGAAATCGGCATTTTTGGGCAATAAATTGATATTTTTAATAAAGTTTTCATAAAATTTAGCTAATTTTCGGGTCGAAAAACGATTTAAAATAGTTTGAAATTGCATACATTCAAAATTTCATTTTTTTTCGAAAATCGGCATTTTTGGGCAGCAATTTGATAATTTTTAAATAAAATTTGTGACTTTTTTTACGTTTAGGGGTAACAAAAAGCACTGTATTTTGTGATGATAGAAAGGATATCATAAACATGATAGAAAGGGCGAAATAACCCGTATTTTCCAGACACGTAGCTACCCTGAACGACGAGACGCTCGACGCGAAAGTGCGGCGAACACTTGACGTATGGAGGGAGAGAAACGTCTACGGGCTGGATGATATAAACGAATGGACGTCGCTATTAAATGTGAGTTTTTTTACGTTTTTTAATTTATTTTTTAGTGCAACGGCAAAAAGAAGGCGGCAAAAATGGCCGAGAAGAAAAAGGCCAAGCAGCCTTCGGGCACCACCACCATGCCGATGCCAGTCAAGAAGGTGGAAATTTAAATAATTAAATTTATTAGAAGTTTTAGTCCGCCTCCGAGGACAACCCGTTCAACTACGACGCGCAGCAGCTGAACGCGATGACGAAGAGCCTGCACAACGCCCTGGAAAAGCAGAAGCGCCCGCCCTCGATGGATCTGGAGTTGAGGTGGTGACGCGTTTTTTTTTGGTTTTTCGCATTATCGGGGAGAGGGGAGGGTTTTTTTAAAAGATAGAAATTTTCAAATACAGATAGCGGAAGTATTTCTAAACTTTTTTCACTATTCCTAAACGTAAAAATTTACAAATTTTCGTGAAAAAGTGTAAAAAATGTAGATTTTCCACCAAGAAATTACCTCTTTTAACAAAATTCTGGTTTTTAAAAAGCTGTTTCTAGCCGAAATATTTTATTTTACTAAAACTATTAAGAAAATAGTTCCTATTAAGTTACCAGGCATTTCTATACGTAGACAAAGGAATTTGTCTCCCCCCCCCGATAATGCGATAGTACCGTTTTGTTATTTTATGTTTCAGAGAAAAGATCTCCGCCCTCCCCTCCTACCTGGCCAACCCCGGGGAGCTGAACTTTATCAAGACGGTCGAGGAGAAGCATCGAGTCCTCGCTGAAATTGCCGAGAGCGCCCCACTAGTCAATGGATATTGTCAAGAGTAAGGATTTTTTAGTTTTTAAATATTTTTTTTAGCCTCGACCGCGAGATCACGAATCGGCGAAAGACGGTCGACCTACTGGGCGAGTATTTGATCATGCTGCGCAACGTGGCGAACCGCGAGAACGAGCAGATACAGTGGCTGAAGCGGAAGAAGGGCGAGGTGGAGAGCGATCAGAAGGAGGTTAGATTTTTGTCTGTGTAAAATATCAAAGTTTCAAAATCAGGAGTTTTTTGGGAAAACCCAACCTTGCTCCCAGGAATTTATTTTTTTTACTGTTTTATTGTGCTTTTTAAACCCCATTTTTAGCTCGAACTGGCCCTGGAACGACTTCCCGACCAAGCCCTCGAAACGGAGGCCGTCACCGAGCTGCCCAACTTTGAGAACCTGTTCAACTTTGGGAAGCCGATGTTCGGCAGCCAATAAATGATGTATTTTCTCTTGCCGTTCTGATTGTTTCCGCCCCTTCACAAATCCTCGATTTCTCCCAGATTCTTACGGGTCTCGTCTTGCTATACACACTGCCTTGTTCTTGTTATAATTTTCAATTATATTATTTAATTCAACTTGTCGATTGTCGTTGCCTAAAGTTGCCTGATATGCGCCGAAAAAGTGTTTGTACTATCCGCCACTATTTTTGGTGTTGGCCCAAATGCTATTCCGTTCGTGCGTTTGATTTCCGGTAAAGTTATTTGACTCTGTTGTCGATGTTTGATCCGATTTTTGGTCATATTACTTTTTTAAAGCCCAAAAATGAGTTTTTGAGCCTTTTTGCCTTTTTCTAAGCATTTTAACAACTTTAAATTCGAACTCTTCCGTGGCCCTTGCAAGCAATAAAACCCCTAGGCACCAACCCGGCCGGCCATGTTCAGCGAGCGCAAGTACCACGTGTCCTCGACCATCATCTGTGTGGCCCAGTTCCCGTCGATGGTCACGTCATCCTAAATTTTGGCTAGAGGCAGGCTAGCAGAGATTTTGGAGGAAACCATAACTTTTTTTTGCTGCCCGAATTACATGTCGTAACTTGTTGGGAAGGAGATAATTTCTTCTTTGCAATTTTAAAAAAACTTTAAATTTTTTAAGCGCTTTTTGCTATTTTTAGCTTAAAAACCTTATAAACTCTATTAAAAATACGGAAAATATATATTTTCGATGGTTTTCGACCAAATATTCAAATAAATAAGCGTTTTTTACCCTTTTGATAGATTTTTTAAATTAAAATATAGCTCATTTTACTAAAAACGCAAATCGAGCTACATTTGAAAATTTTCTACATTTTTGTAAGTTTTCTGAATAGTTTTTCAGCTAAAATATAGCTATTTATTAAAACTCGGATTAAAATATTTGCTGTTACATCACTAGGATAACTGAACGTCTAGAAGAAGTTCGCCACCCCCCGAAAAGACAAACGCACCTTTTGACTGGGTATCTGGTTCATATGCAAATCTCGGGGTTCCACGCTCGCCCACGACGCCGGGTCGAACACGCTGAGAAACTCGTCGTCCTCGAAGTACACCTCTTGAGTTTTGAATTGATTAGGGACCTGAAAATCCGCAAATATACCTGGCGATGGGTACTCGTCGGCGTCGGCGCGTTCGGGGCAAGATTCCTGCTTGTCGGCGCCTGAAAATACGTTTAAGTATTTATATTTAATAAAGACTTTTAAACATTTATATCTAGTCAATGCCTTTAAATATTTATATTTAATAAATAATATCAAATAAGAAACTAAATTGTATTTATTTTAATCAATAATTACCAATCGAGACGCCCTTGCCGAAGAACATGACGCCCGTGTCGGGGAACAGGATTTTGGCGACCTGGAAATTGAGTTTTTCGAATAACGTTCGGCTCATTCGGTAGAGCAAAAAAATTCTGAACACAATAGAGGCTTTAAAAGGTGGTATTTCTGACTGTAAGAGCCGAAAAAATGCAATTTCAATTATCAATTCTCATTTTCCCCTGAATTTTCACAAATACTCACGTTTAAAAAAAGATTTTTATCGTATTTCTAAGCGAATCGTCGTTCATTCGATAGAGCGAAAAATTCTGAGCCTAATACAGCCCTTGAAACTCTTTGTTTCACTACTGTAAGCAGTAAAAATGTAATTTAAAGCCGTAATTTCGATCGGTCTAATCTCTTCTCCTATCCGATAAATTGGGTTTACGCCTTTTTTCCGGACTACCGTAGCCCTATAGTATTTTTTTTATTTTTGAAGGCTAAACCATGTATTTCATAGCAAAATTAAAAGAATTTAACGACCTTTCTAACGTTTAAACAGGTTTTCTTGACGATGTTTTAAGTTAAACAACGTTCATTGGAAAAGCAATAAATTCTGCACTCAATCCAGCCTTAAAAAATATTAGTTTCACTACAGTAAGCAGTAAAAATGTAACTTCGATCCGCAATATCGATCGGTTTCACCTTTTTTCCTAAAAATTGGGTCCAAGCATTTTTTCCGAACTACCGTAGCCCTACAGTATTTTTCAAGGTGGCAGCTTGTGCAGTTTTTTTCTATATTTTATAAAAGATATTTTCTTTAGTTTTGTAAACTGTTTTTTTATAGTTTCTCTTAAGATAGCGTACATCCAAGTTGATATCAATGGCGGTGGCCACCTCGTTCAGCGAGTCGATATGGATATGGTCCCCGGGGCAGGGTTGTCGCTAGAAAATAGCCCTTATTTTTATTAATAAAAAAATAGAAAATAATAGAAAACTACCAAACTTTACCTAAAAATAACAATCTTTCAATTCTCAAGCGCCCGAATTTTTGGTCAAAAATTTATTAAGCGAAGGACTGCTGTGTGTTTTGATATAAGAAATCACGACATTTTTTTGCGCTATGCTTTATGAACTATTTTTTAGTTTTAAAATATGCACTAGTTAATGCCATAATTAATATTAACAATTATGAGCGCGAAACTAGGATTTAGAGCACCGAAAAAATTATGTTTCTAGCTTTACGAAACCTATTTTCTTTGGGAGTAGATTATTCCCAGGAGAGCTCTGCTCTAAAATCCGGCAAAACTAAAAATGACAACTACTCCAAACCATAATTACCATACCTTGTTCAGCCAGTTCGAGGCGGTCCCAAAGTTGTTCTGCTTCCGCCAGGCGAACGGCTTCGCCTCGTGGCTGTACACATTAAGAGCAAAGAACAACAGAATCTTCCATGTCATTTTGTTACCTGAAAAGGTGTTTCATGAAATCGGAAAACAAGCACAAAAGAAAATTAACAATTGACGCAGAGCTCGCATTGAACGCATGAGACCGCGACTCAATATTTCGGTAAAAACCATACGTTTTGCCTTCCCATTTCATTTAAAGTGAGTATCCCATGAAGTGGAACCAAAAATCCCTGCTAGCCTGCCCTCCCCAAAATCGATAAACTGTCCTCCTCTATAGGTTATCGAATTATTTTGATGCTCTCGCCAATCTGGTAACCCGAGCCCCGGGAATCCGACTCGTCACTCGTGACGGAATAAACAGTCCTGTGGAATGGATGGAAGGGAGGTAGGCTAGCAGAGAGCAGTGGGGACTAAAAAATTTCCAAAAAAATAATGTTTCTGGATTCAATGGGATTTTTTGCGGAATTGATGGAATAATGCGCAAAAGGTGCAATTGGATACCATTCGTTGAGGAAGAGGAGGGCAGGCACGCAGAGATTGTTGAGGAAGAGGAGAGGGCAGGCTAGCAAAGATTGTTGAGGAAGCGGAGAGGGCAGGCTAGCAAAGATTGTTGAGGCAGAGGAGAGGGCAGGCTAGCAGAGATTGTTGAGGAAGAGGAGAGGGCAGGCTAGCAGAGATTGTTGAGGAAGAGGAGAGGGCAGGCTAGCAGATATTGTTGAGGAAGAGGAGAGGGCAGGCTAGCAGAGATTGTTGAGGAAGAGGAGAGGGCAGGCTAGCAGAGATTGTTGAGGAAGAGGAGAGGGGCAGGCTAGCAGATATTGTTGAGGAAGAGGAGAGGGCAGGCTAGCAGAGATTGTTGAGGAAGAGGAGAGGGCAGGCTAGCAGAGATTGTTGAGGAAGAGGAGAGGGCAGGCTAGCAGATATTGTTGAGGAAGAGGAGAGGGCAGGCTAGCAAAGATTGTTGAGGAAGAGGAGAGGGCAGGCTAGCAAAGATTGTTGAGGAAGAGGAGAGGGCAGGCTAGCAGAGATTGTTGAGGAAGAGGAGAGGGCAGGCTAGCAGATATTGTTGAGGGAAGAGGAGAGGGCAGGCTAGCAGATATTGTTGAGGAAGAGGAGAGGGCAGGCTAGCAGAGATTGTTGAGGAAGAGGAGAGGGCAGGCTAGCAGATATTGTTGAGGAAGAGGAGAGGGCAGGCTAGCAGATATTGTTGAGGAAGGGAGAGGGCAGGCTAGCAGAGATTGTTGAGGAAGAGGGAGAGGGCAGGCTAGCAGAGATTGTTGAGGAAGAGGAGAGGGCAGGCTAGCAAAGATTGTTGAGGAAGAGGAGAGGGGCAGGCTAGCAAAGATTGTTGAGGAAGAGGAGAGGGCAGGCTAGCAGATATTGTTGAGGGAAGAGGAGAGGGGCAGGCTAGCAGAGATTGTTGAGGAAGAGGAGAGGGCAGGCTAGCAGAGATTGTTGAGGAAGAGGAGGGGCAGGCTAGCAAAGATTGTTGAGGAAGAGGAGAGGGCAGGCTAGCAAAGATTGTTGAGGAAGAGGAGAGGGCAGGCTAGCAGAGATTGTTGAGGAAGAGGAGAGGGCAGGCTAGCAGAGATTGTTGAGGAAGAGGAGAGGGCAGGCTAGCAGATATTGTTGAGGAAGAGGAGAGGGCACGCTAGCAAAGATTGTTGAGGAAGAGGAGAGGGCAGGCTAGCAGAGATTGTTGAGGAAGAGGAGAGAGGGCAGGCTAGCAGATATTGTTGAGGAAGAGGAGAGGGCAGGCTAGCAGAGATTGTTGAGGAAGAGGAGAGGGCAGGCTAGCAGATATTGTTGAGGAAGAGGAGAGGGCAGGCTAGCAAAGATTGTTGAGGAAGAGGAGAGGGCAGGCTAGCAAAGATTGTTGAGGAAGAGGAGAGGGCAGGCTAGCAGAGATTGTTGAGGAAACACCAAAATTTTAATTTGATTCCCGTTTTTTTCTGCTACATTTCACCGAACGGCAGCCGCTTTCTCGTGAACTGACCTCCAGGGGAAAAAGTGAAAACCTGATGCCTCGAAGGCGTTTATCGGCAGCTTTTCCCCCTGAGGGGGCGAGATGGCCTTGACTGTCCATTGTCTTCACATCCGAAAATATTATCACAGAGGCGGCTCGAGGAGGGAAATGAACTTGGCACAGTCCGTTGCTATAATGGAACGCACGCATTTGGTTGTTTTCGAAAATAACTTCACTTTATTGTCATTTTAGCCAAATTTTTTCGGAGGCAGCTAGCAGAAACAATTTGACGTTTTTTGCGGACCGTCCACAGTCCTCGAGGGCAGGT